TTTCTTTATATGCTGTGCTTTCGTCTTTATATGCTGTGCTTTCTTCTTTATATGCTGTGCTTTCTTCTTTATATGCTGTGCTTTCGTCTTTATATGCTGTGCTTTCTTCTTTATATGCTGTGCTTTCTTCTTTATATGCTGTGCTTTCTTCTTTATATGCTGTGCTTTCTTCTTTATATGCTGTGCTTTCTTCTTTATATGCTGTGCTTTCTTCTTTATATGCTGTGCTTTTTTCTTTATATGCTGTGCTTTCTTCTTTATATGCTGTGCTTTCTTCTTTATATGCTGTGCTTTCTTCTTTATATGCTGTGCTTTCTTCTTTATATGCTGTGCTTTCGTCATTATATGCTGTGCTTTCTTCTTTATATGCTCTGCTTTCTTCTTTATATGCTGTGCTTTCGTCGTTATATTCTGCGCTTTCTTCTTTATATGCTGTGCTTTCGTCATTATATGCTGTGCTTTCTTCTTTATCTAACTGCAGAGAGTTACGCATGATTGACTGTCCATGGACTGTGGGAAACCTGAAAGCCACTCTTGGCAGTCAATCTAAAATCTATGCTAGACCCATTCAAAGAAATCTTTCAACTAGTTCAATCCAGCCTGATGCCAATATCCAGGTTCGAGAAAAATGCCAAGGTTGCCAGGAAGATTTTATGTTGAGTGAACTGCGCGATCATCTATACACCTGTACAGCTGGCATTTTAAATTCACATTCTTCCGATGAAACTGATTCCAACCAGCATCAACAAATTCAACCTACCAATGCTGCAGCCCATATGGACAATAACAGTGAGCAACACACTACTTTAGGGGATATATTCGAACAACAAAAAACTATTGCTGACCAACAACCTAGCAACAGTGCTGAACAGCTAACAAGCAACAATGAAACTCCTGTCAGTATTCATATTGAACAACCTAGCATTAACATTGAAACAAACAATTCAGCAATTGTAAGTGAGCAAATAAACTTGAGTGGTCCACATCCGGATATTAATGACAACAGCCCTATTTTTGTAGAAGATGACATACATGGTCCTATGGATATGCACCAACTCGATCACCTAGTTGATGAAGTAGTAGAGCAGTGCAAGAAAAGCAATATGGTCAGTAACAAAGAAATTCTTCGTTTATTACTGTCAAAAATACTACAAGGGAGGAGTCTGGATATTGAAAGGGAAGATGTATGCCCAGAAGGTGAGACGACCTACATTTATGTGGATCGTGACAACTTATTGGAAACTGCATTGGATGAGATAGCAGCTATAGAAAATATCTTGCTTACATCGCACGTCCAATTTTATGGAGAGGTATAGTACTGAAAATTATGTTTATAGTCACAAAAACTTGCATTTCTAATATCAGAGGTTCTTTTCCAGAGGTTCATTTCAATAGCTTACACTTTCGCATTTAAAAAATTGAGGGGTCTCATCTCCCTTTTGAATCATTCCCTTATA